CTGGTCTTCATTCTTATCTTCATGGAGACACAGATCACCACGTGAGTACCTCCCCACCAGTGCCTATCGTCACTAACCCAAGGGTAGGTTAGGCTGGGATGGGTGTTGGTGCTGTTCATGTGGTGATGCGTCTGGCATCCCAGTGGGACAGCAAGGGCAGGATTCTGGCCATTTCATAGAATTATAGACTGGTTGTGGTTGGAAAGGATCATCTGGTTAGGGCTGGATAAGATCATCTAGCTTCAACTCCCCTGACGTGGTCAGGGACACCTCACACTAGACCATGTCGCCCAAAGGCTCTGTCCAGCCTGGCCTTGAGCACTGCCAGGGTTGGAGCATTTACCACTTTTTTGGGCAACCTGTTCCAGTGCCTCACCACCCTCACAGTAAAGAGCTTCTTCCTTATATTTTACCTGAACTTCCCCTGTTTAAGTTTAAACCTATTATCCCTTGTCCTATCTCTACAGTCCCTGATGAATAGACCTCTGGCATCCTTGTAGGCCCCCTTCAGATATTGGAAGGCTGCTATGAGGTCTCCACGTAGCCTTCTCTTCTCCAGGCTGAACAGCCCCGATTTTCTCAGCCTGTCTTCATACGGGAGGTGCTCCAGTCCCCTGATCATCCTTGTGACCTCCTCTGGACTTGTTTCAACAGGTCTGTCCTTCTTCTATTGAGGACACCAGAACTGTATCTTCTTGGGTTCTGCCATCATGTCCCGGCTCCCCTCCTATCATAGTGTGGTGGGGATGCACCTTAGTCAAGTGCAGGAGGAAACCTCTAACCTGAGGTTGGCATCCACCATCTCTCTCCTCAGCCATCTACTTGTTGTCCCCATGTTGTGTGGTCTCTCCAGGGAGTGAATGTGCTGTTCCTGGGCACTGGGCTGAGCCTGGCACTGACCTGAGCTCTTCTTCCTTCCAGGCTGATTGTTAGCAAGAAGGAGAGGAAGCTGCTGAAAGGCTCTGGCTTCCACCTAGACCTGCTGCTTATTGGCACTATGGGGGGGCTTTGCGCACTCTTTGGGCTGCCTTGGCTGACTGCGGCGACGGTGCGCTCCGTCACCCACGTCAATGCCCTGACGGTCATGAGCAAGGCCATTGCACCAGGAGAGAAGCCCAAGATTGAGGAAGTGAAGGAGCAGCGTGTGACTGGAGCGCTTATTGCTGCTCTTGTTGGTGAGCCTCTGCTCGGGTGAAGGAGGGGGGAGGTCAGGGGTGACCACTCCTGTCAGTATCCCTGCCGCGCAGGCCAGCCTGCGTTCTGCCTGCTTTCTGTAGGACAGCCCCCACCTTCACGGAGCTCTCTGCTGGCAGCCTTCGATACCCTGCCGTGGTCAGTCCAGCTCTGCAACCTTTCAACCCTTCCAGCTAGACCCCTCTTGAACTTCCTTTCCCTTGCACCCTAGGACAGAGATGAGGCGGGAGAGGGACAGAAGCTGAGGTGCCTTGCAGAGGGGCTGGCGTGGGACACACCTTGTCCTGATCTCTCTCTGTGCAGGTCTGTCCATTGTGATGGGGAACATGCTGCGGCAGATCCCACTGGCCGTGCTCTTCGGCATCTTCCTGTACATGGGGGTTACATCGCTCACTGGCATCCAGCTCTATGAGCGGCTGCTCCTGATCTTCATGCCATCCAAGCACCACCCTGACCACATCTATGTTGTCAAGGTGAGTGAAAGCAGCTTGTGGGGAACCAGGTAACAAGGAGCAGAGGAAGAAGAGGCAGGTGAGGGGAGAATGGTGCTTTGCTAGATTGATGCTTGGCTTGGTGGCCCCCGCCTTGGCTGCAAGCTTGTGCCGAGAAGTAAGTCCAAGCCATGCGTAGAGGTGGTACATCTCTAGAATAGTGTACTGATAGGCTTCACAGGAGTGTCTTGCCAGGATACTGTAAAGATGGACTGTCTATGGGAGTGATGTATTGCTTGAGTGAGTGTAGGGACACTGCACTGCTAGGTTGCACAGAGGCTGATGTGTTAAAGAGTTCTGCCTTGTTGTAGAGTACAGGCAGGTAGTGTGCAGCAGTGTTACATTACTGTACTATGCTATGCAGAAGGGTTATGTCTTGCTGGTTGGTTCTTCCTTAATCTGTGTGGAAGGATAATGTGTTCTTAGTCTGCATTTACCTCCCTAGGTGAAGACCTGGAGGATGAATCTCTTCACCTGCATTCAACTGGCCTGCATTGTGCTGCTCTGGGTGGTGAAATCTACAGTGGCATCCTTGGCCTTCCCCTTTGTCCTAATCATGACAGTGCCATTGCGACGCTTCGTGCTGCCCCACTTCTTCCATGACAGGGAGCTCAAAGCGGTAAGCAGACAACTGTCTTAACGGTCTAGCTTGCAAGACTGGAGTGAGGTTGAGGAGATTGGCAGACTGAAAGGCTAGGAGATCCTGGGACAGCAAAGCCTTGGCTTTTCCTGCTCTTGTCTGGGGGTCTTTGTTCAACAGCAGTAGGTGAGTGGATGGCTTTCTTAGAGCTTGTGAGAGCACTAGAGAGTGCAGTGTGGGATGGATGAGAAACCTAGAGCAATGAGACAGAGGATCCTACCACACAGAGACCTAGAATAAGGGTTTCCCCTTCCATCTTCCTCCCCATTTGTGGCTTATTCATCAAGAGACAACCCATTTCCCACTGAGACAGCAGCAAGGACAGCCCAGCAGCGCACCAGAGCTTGGTACAGGAGCATGTAACCACAGAGCCAGGGTGCTGGCAGCTCTTTGACTGCTGCCAGTATCCTGAGCTCCTGTTGGAAAGCAGCCTCGAGCAGCACCCAGAAGTGGGCACTGCCAGCAGGGGAGGAGCTGCTGGTCTGGACCAAAGCCCCAGTGACAGGGCACTGTCAAACAAACACTCTGGGAAAGGGCATCAGGTTGAGGACACATGGATGGGCACAAAAAGGAGACTGCTGGGAGGGGAAGGAGTAAGAGCTTTGCTCTTCCCAGCACAGCCCACCTGCCTGGCTTGCTGCATGCTGGTCCCTCCATGCCACACTTGATCCTGCACTAGGGGCGGCTTCCTAGCCCAGTCTCTTCCTCTCCCCAGCTGGACTCGGAAGATGCAGAACCAAACTTTGATGAGGATGGCCGGGATGAGTACAACGAGCTGCACATGCCTGTGTGAGCTGGGAGCTGCCCTCCCCACTCATGGGACAGGCTGCTCACGCCTGCTCATCCCTCCCAAGGACTAACTGGAGACTTGCCATGAGTCATGTGATCTCTTGCCCGAACCAACAAATGGCTGTTCTATAGCCCCGCAGGAGGCAGCCCTGACTCCTGCTGCCTCATCGCTTGCTCAGCAGAGGCTGTGAGTTTCTCTCCTCTTGGACCTGGTGGGCTGAGAGATGCCTCTCACATCACAGAACTGTGTGGGTCCTGAGTGCCCATGGGTCAGGGCTCTGCCCCCTCCTTGCTGGAGGCAGCCTATGCCTGGTCTCCTGGTGGTGAAGGGGAGCCATGCCAGCTGGTGCCACCCTGTCCCTCTCCACTACCGTGAAGTTTGGGTGTCTCAGCAGCATGTGCCACCGAGCAGTCACAGAGATGGGCTGGATGCTACCTGTGAACGGCCAATGGGCTTCTCCCAGGCCAGCAGCCTCCTTGCTCAACTGGCGGATGCTCCTGCTCCTTTTCCTCCTTCCAGGAGGGCTCATGCTGGGCCTGTGCCACAGACCCTGGCCCATGAGGCTTCTGCAGCCTGGCAGATGGAAGGGACCAGTACCCTGGCCCTGTCCTCCAGACCAGCATCCGTCCAGTCACCATCCCACAGGACTGTTTTCAGCTCTTGCTTGGCATGGGGGAGGCTGTTTGGTTCCTCCTGATTTTCCCAACCCTCTTTCCACAAGAAAACTGCACAGGAAGGGGAGGCTCGTGACAAGCAGGTATCCTGAAGCCTCGAGTGCCTGTCCTCTTGCAGAGATTAAGAGGAGTCCTGTGCCATTCTGCACCTCCATACAGGTTGCAGAGGTAAAAATTCATCACTGGGCTGCATGCCGGTTCCTGATTCCCACGTTCTTGTCCCTGAGAACAAACCATATTTAAGAAGCTGTACAAGAGATGTAGTGCTGGAGTGCAAAACAGTCCTTTGGGTCCCCTCCCTTTCCCTGTGCAGTGATCCACTGGGTCTGGCTCCCTGCAGCCCTATGAGGAAGTCACTGAAACCTCCAGCTCACATTCTGCTGCCATACCAGCATCCTGTGTGACCTTTTGTGCCCAGGGGTGCCTTCCAGGTAGAAAGGAGCAGCATTCAGCATGCCCAGCACTCAGCCCCATTCATCTCTGGGCAGTTCCAAACACCTTTCCACCTGTCAGAGCTGTCCCCTGGGGTCTCCCCTCACTCAGAGCTGCCCCAGGAACTGGTTCCGTTAATGGTTCCATTGCTGCCCCCATTGGCTCTGAGAGTAGTGCCAGAGCAGAAGAGCCTCTCAGCCTTTTCCTGATGGTTGGAGCCAGAATGGCCTTCTGGAGGAGGCTGGGATGCTCACTTCACCATTGCATTTGGGACAAGCTGCTGCTCCAGTTCCTATTTATCAGCCTGGCTCTTGCCAGAGATGGTGGATTCTTCAGCACTGGGAGGGTTCAACGCCTTCCCAGGAGGCTCTAGAAATATCCCACCAGAGAGAGAAATCTCCCCCCACAGCAGGTTCCTGCCCCACAACCTGGCCCCTCCACAGGGTCTGGGGTGGAGAGACAAGTGTCTCTGTGTGTCTGTGGCCATGTGTGTCCTGTCCTCACTGTGTAGTGTAGGAGGCCTGTTGTCGCTGTGCATTGTGACTCCTCTGACTGTAGTGGAAACAGCTACACCAATAAACTCTTCACAGGAATCGTGCCTGGCTCCACTTCTGTTTGTTAATTTACAATAAATTAAATTGATTGAAACTTCATGACACAAAACAGCAGTCTTGCCCACACCAACAAGGCCCAGCTGGAGAGGGGCCACTACCAGCACAGAGGTAGGTTCTCCACCACCATCATCAACCAGGCTAGTGATGTGGGCTCAGCTGGAGGCCCCATGCTGGATGCTGGAAATGGGAGGCTGAGACCCGTATTTAACCAGAAACATGTAACATGCCTGCTTGCATCCATTCACACATGCATGCGTGTGCCTGTGTGCTGAGCAGCATTTGCTGCCCATCTCCTTATCTAGCCTGTAGCTACACGCCAAACAGCATGGCTATGGGCTGAGCATGGAGGAAAGATCTCATTGAAGCACACGTTCCCTCCATGTTTTCTTCCCAAGCAGGAGCCAAGCCAGGTTCTCATGAGCTGCTGGCTGCCTGCAGCCCATGTGGTGATGGGTTGGATGTCCCTCAGTTGAGCTCTTCTGAGTGCTGCTGCTGCTGGGAGTAGGTGGTGGTACCACCTCCTGTGGTCACGGTCTCTGTCTGCTCCTGGGGCTGGCCACTGCCATGGGGCTCTTGTCAGAGGGCTGAGCCTGCCTGGGCACAAGGGTGGTGGCCATCTCATTTCTGAGCTGGGCCCGCTGTGGGGTGGGTAGTACTTGGCCTCGCAGCATCCTCTCCAGATCCCGGCAGTGCTGCTGAACCTGTGGGAGAGGAGGCAGTGCTGTCCAGCCTTTTCCATGTAGCTCTCCTGACCATAGCAATGCCCCCAACTCAGCCGGGGATGCAGGGCAGGAAGCACAAGCAGATCCATTGTGAACTCCTTACCTCATCAATCCTCCGGATGAGAATGGGCCTGACCTCCAGCTCCAGCAGCCAGTCGGCCTCCAGGATGCTGTGATGGTACTCCTCCACCTCCAGGTTCTTCTGCAGCTCCTCAGCCAGGGCAGCCTGGTGCCGGTGACCTCTCGTATGCTGTCTCTGCTGGGGCCGGGACCGCTCTGTCACCTTGCCCTGCTGCTGCAGGCGCAGGACACGGATGCGCTGGGTGACATGGCAGACCTGGGCACGCAGGGCAGGTGCCCGGTCCCTGCAGTGCAACAGGGCCAGCAGCTCCTCCTGGCTCTCCCGCAGCCGGGCTTGCAGCACCCTGGTGCTGTTGCCTGCCCCCAAAGACTGCAGTGGGACCAAGAGGTTGGGCAAGCCCCCCAGGTGCTGGGGAACCCTGCTGCGCAGTGGGGGCTGCACGCTGCTGGGAGCCAGCCCTCCTCTACCCGGCACTGGTGGCTGCTGTGGCAGTGATAGTGATGGTGATGGTGGCAAGGAGAGGCTGTACCTGCTGCGATGGAGATGGACCCACTGCTGGGCAAGTTTCGCTGTGGCCAAGCTCTGGTGAAAGACATCGGGGATCAGCCGCAAGACCTTCACAAAGGGCCCCACACCATCAAAGCCACGCAGGTCACGCAGGCTCTGGGGGCTGAAGACCTGCTCAGTGAGGGGCCCACCCTGCAGCAGCAGCCCCCAGTTACGCCGGTGGGTGAAGAGCTGTGTGGCCAGGCACGGGATGGATGCAGGGCAGGCAGCTGGCTGCTCATGCATGTACAAGTTCTCACAGAGTGGGACCACCACTCTGGCATCAAACCTCTCCTTCAGCATGCTCAGGTGGTGCAGGTAGGAGGCCAGCCAGCCCACGTAGTTGGCCACGTCAGAGCTGGCTGCACCAGGCTGGCCCTGGACAAGCTTCTGCAGGTGGTGCCAGCTCTCCACCTGCCCTGATGGGCTCTGTGGCAGCACAACCAGCAGCACATGGTACAGGCTGCGCAGGTTGAAGCCCTGCTGGCACTGCTGTACATGCCTCGTGAAGGCGCTGATCTCTTCTTCAAGGGCAGAGTAGAGGGCTTCCATGGGCCCTGGTGATGGAGAAGAGGCAGCCAGGATCATAGCTCATCCACACAGTCCTAGGCCCTGGATGGACTAGAAAACACGCTGCACCAGTATGCAATGAATCTATGGACTGGAGTAGGCAGGATTGCTGCAGAGGCTTTCTGTCTGGGTCACAGCATGGGCTCAGTCAGCAGCTGGTGCAACCAAAGGCTGGCATGGTGCTTCAAAGATGTCACACCTGGCCAGTTCAGATGAGTTGGTCCCTGTTGCTCTGCTGAAGAGGAGACAGTGGGTGGGTGGGGAGGAGGGCAACAGGGACAGGCTGCGGCAGAAGGAGTGAGGGAGCTGCAAGGGGTGAGCTCCGTGGGGTACACCCACTTTTGTGGCATCAGATAAGGAGGGAGTCACTGCTGGGTGCTGCCACAACAGGGGCACACTGGACCACAAAATGCTGGTGCAGTGTTTGGAGAGCAGCAGAGAGTCTGCCTGTAGCCCCAGGGAATGCTGCTGTGGGAGTGGGGAGAACACTCTAGATGCCCACAGTCCCCCCGCTGCCCTGAGGATGTTCTGGGATGCGATTTATGTCCTCCTACTTCCTGGAAGGGGACTAGTTGTGCCAGACCAGGACTGTGTGCTGACCAGCAGTTTCTCCCACCTCTCTGTTGTTTGAGAGCAACTTTATCTTTACAAAAGTAAGCAGACACCCTAGCCTGCCTGGAGAACTAAATATAGGAGGACTGTTCCCAAAACTGTCAAGTCCATAACTTTAAACCATTGCGTGTTTAGGCAAACTATATGGGTTTCTGTTTCTGCCACTCAGGTTCAAGTACACTCAAGCTATCTGCTCCAGTTATTTTCGTTTTCCACAGCCAGGAGGGGCTGGCACATCTCTGTTGTAAGCTACCACTGGCACCCCTTCACACAGCCCTGTGGCTAGGAAGTTAAGGAAATTGCTAGCTAAGACCGTCTCCACGACAAAACTGGGAACCAATGCCACTGGCAAAGTTTCCCCTCTCTCCTGTATAAGTCCTTGCCTAGGCTTTGGTGTCTCCTTTTCAAGCACTCAAAATGCATTAAGAGAAATGTAAAAATACTTTTTCCTTTTCCCCATGAGGAAGGGTTTGTGAACCCTGCCCCGGGCAGGGGGGGGTGTTAGGTAAAATGGCAGAAGATGTCAGCACAGCGTGCAATGCAGGCTGCCAGGGGTGAGAACAGCTTTGGTTGCATTCACCTTCACCAACAAGTGTCTGCAAGTGAGTTTAAATGAGTTGCACCAGTTTGGGGAGAGCAGAGCTGACACTGCGCATGAAGCCCAAGACCAGCTAAACAGCAGCCCCAGTCCATGGGTGTCAGAGTCCAGCTCACTGCTGCAGATGCTGAGGGCTGAAGACCGCCAGTAAGTACTGCCAATCACTGGTGACCTGAACATCCCTGCTGTGGCTCCAGCCCCATGCTCTCTGCCCCCTCTTGCCCTCCATCCACCTCCCCTCTGTGACACCCAAAAGAAGAAACTTACCAGCCCCAGCCGAGTCACTGGGGAGAGGAGAAAGGGCTGAGCTGGGCCCCGCTGCCTGCCAGGGGAGGGATCTGCCCTCTTTGAGCACCGACACAAGCATCTTCCCCATGGCAACGGCAGGTTTGGACATGTCTCTCATGCTGGAGCCAGCCTTTCCCAGACCCAGTTGCCAACCCCACAGGCATTGCCTTGAAGCTACAGGCAGAGATGCAGCTCTCTCCAGCCCCTCTGCCTCGCACAGGTCTTTGCAAAGGACTTTTTTCTTGCAGGGATGCCTGAATCCTTGGCACAGGCTTGGATAGCACATTTCTGTAATACAAGTGAATGCTCCTGTGCACAGCCCTGAATTTGTCCCAAAGGCCTGTCTGGCCTTGGCAAGAGAGAAGCGCCTTAGCCTTGGGCAGTCCACTGCCTGCCTACTGCCTTGTGTCCCTGCCCTGTCCCTTTCAGTGCATCATCTTTGCAGGGCTCCTCAGCCCTCCAGCTGGCTGAGGTGCCTGTGCTGGGACTGCTCTGCAGTGGGACTCTAAGGAGATGTAAATGGTCTCTCGAGGGAGTGAGAAGGGGAAATGAGAGCAAATCCTCTGTTAGACAAAATTCTGACAGCTACTAAGGTCTGACCCTAACAGTTCCGCTTCCACTTCTACATGGCTGCCCATGGGAGCAGGAGCCTTGACCACGGTCACAGAGCTGGCCAGGGCTGTGCCCAGCCCTCCAGTCCAGGACCCCATGGGGAGGGAGACAGGGGCCCCCGGGAGTGATTCAATGAAGACAGTGCTGGCACACTTATGTGCCTGTTTGAGGTTTCCCTGTCTGGGTGCATGCTTTTGGCTGTGGTGTACTTCCCACAAGCCTCTGTGTCTTGCTGTGCAGAGGTGCCTCACATGAGCTCCCCTGCAGAGAGGAGCAATGCAGCTGTAAGGTCAGAACAGGGAAGCCTCAGCCTGAGGTCTCAAATGCAGCTGCCAAAGCTTCTTCCCTGCAAGGAGCACCAGGGAGGTGAGCTGGCACCCGTGGACATCTTGCCTCACTCAGAGGGGCACACACATGAGCCAGAGCAAGTGCTGAGCACCAGCCCTGCACAGCATCCCCCATTGCTCCTGCCAGATTGCTCTATGATCTCCTGGGCCAAGAGCTGTCAGATGTGACTTTGCTGCTGAGCAGGACAGAAGGGTAATACTCGTCTTGTGACTTCTGCTGCAGGAGCCCAGCTGGATAACTGCCTTCATCTCTCAGCCCAGCGTCCCTGGAGGATGCCCTCCCTTCCAACACACAGGGTACTGCAGCATCACCAGGGGTAGGAGACGCTGGGGGGTGCCTGGCTCCTGCTGTGACAGGCTCTCATCCTCAGGAGGGACAGATGGCCAAATGCTGGGGCTAGCTCCTAGTGCTCTGTACTGGGCCTGCAGTCATTTTTCCATCCTTAAAAGAACCTTGAAACGGGGTGCTCCGGCAGACAGGAGGTGTTAGTGCTAACAGACAGCCCTGCCTGCTCCTTGGGTTTGCTAATCTAGTAGCCTAGTGTTGCAGGTTGCCTCCTGGAGATTTATAAGGGACGCATATACCAAAACAGGGCATGGATTGGCATCGTTTTGGCTGCAGGTGCACAGTGAGAACAGCTCGCTCCTTTAGCACAGAAATTATTTGCAGGCTGAAGCTGCACTGATCAGGAAGAGGAAATGTACTGAACCCTGGCTACCAGCATCTGCCAGCAGACCTTGGCCATGACCAGGGATAGTGACATGACACCATTTAACCTCCCCACTCGCTTACCTGGGTTTATTATGCAGCCAGAGACAGAGAGCTAACTGCGTCTGGTAGAACAGCCCAGTCTGGGAAACGCCTGCACCGCAGCTGGGTGACACACTTTCTAGAGCATGAATCCCGCAGCAATGGTATCTGTGAGCAGAGCCCTGCTTACACATCTAGCTAAGCAGAATCCACCAGGCTGTTTGCAACAGAGCCATCTGTGACCTCCACAGCATCACACCATTAATATCAAGGCTTGGTCTGGGTCAAACAAAAGCAGGGCAGGCTTAATAGGAGAGGAAATTAGGTGGATATGCTTGGCTGGCCTCATCCCCACATGTTCCGACTGTGATTATAGCCTTGTGCAGCTCAGCTCTCTTATTCAGCAATCTCGCCGCCAGGAGTGCATTTCTCATGACCGAGGTGTAAAAGCCGCACGTAGCTATGTTTTGGCCCCAAGCAAACCTGTGGCAACACAGGGGAGCCATGGCAAGGAACCTCAGCTTGTTGCTGCCTGGAGGGGGGTGTGTGGCCTGGGATGTGGCAGAGAAAGGGAGGAAGGGTTGGGCTGGAGGAGCAAGACCGGGATCTCTATCTGCAAGAGAAAGCTGGAGGCACCTCATTATGGGTTTGGTCCATCCAGCAGAGCCAAGCGCAGATGGGCTGGTAGAAAGTCACAGTGTTACAGTTAGTGCTGGCCCCAGTGACCCAGCTTGGAGGATGCTTCAGAGGCCAAAGGGTGGCATGCAGTGAGAGTGGCGTGGATGCTGGGAGCATACACCCTCTAGGCCCATCTGTTCCAGCTCTCTGCTCTTGTGCTCAGGCTGAAAATGAAGAAGACATCCTGTTTTCCTGACCTATAGAGAAGGGCAGCCCTGGAGGTCATTCCTGCTCTCAGATGAGATAAAAAGCTTTTTCCACTGCTGTTAGACTAACCAGGGGGTCAGCTGCCCTTGGTCTGGGCTCTGCAGTGTGAAAAGGCAGCGCTGTGTTGCGGTGAGCTGGGCTCACTGCTGATGGCGGCTGAAGTGAGACGGGAGCCAGTGGGGTGTCCAACACAGATAAACAACCCCATCCCACGTTGTCCCCCTTGCAAGGAGAGCTCCCCCTCACCCTCCTGCTCTCTGGGGGAGCAGGTGGCGCAGCGCTTGGTGTGACCCTGTGAGAGCCTCTCCAGGCAGTCTTAATCACATTCCTCTGGAGCAGGGACACATCTGGCACAAACATGACCCTCTCCCCAAGGAGCCTGGGTTAATTCCTGCTTCAGAGCCCCAGAGAAGCCCTGAGCAGGGAGAGCTTCGGCACAGATTTGGTCAGCACCATCCTTACCTTGGAGGGGACAGAGGTAGCTTGCGAGCAGCAGGGCAGGAGGAGAGGTCCAGAGCTCCATGCTGAGTTTGAGCAGCCCGAGGCTGAGCTGTGGTGGGGCTTCCTGCAGGCTGGGAACAGGAGACGGGAGGAACTGCCCTTTTCAAGAGTTGATTTGTAAGCTGATTTCAAGCAATTGTGAAACTGGAGTGGGGAGGGGGCTAGAGCTGCAGGGTCATGCGTGCCCTGCTGTGTATCCCGATCTCCTGCCATCAGTGCAGACTGCATCAGGAGAGTGCCTCAGTGTCTGGTGCTCTGCAGGGTGAGGCCACTGTTGCAATGGGACACACTTGGCTTTTGGCTGCTGCTTCTCAGTAGTTCTCCCCCTTTGGAGAACCATCTCCCGGCTGCTCTGTGCAAAGGGGATTTTGGTGGCCTGGCAAAGGAGCAGGGCCTCGTGGAGGGGACTGCCATGGTGGCAATGCACGGCAGAGCATGGGTACCCTCCTCCTTCATCCATTCTTCCCCATGCCTTCAGCTGGATCCAAGGTATCCTGCCTCTGCTGCTGGCTCTCCTGTATCTCAGGGATGATGCCAGAGGAGATCAGTCCCCCACTCTACGAACACTCCTCTGATAAGTCACTGGGGAGGTGGCATTGTGGACGTCACAACTCATTACCTCGCAGGCAATGGTAGACCAAGCCTGGTCAA